TAATGTCCAGATAGTTATCAAATGTTTCTTAAGAAAAAACTTTATATTTCATATATTTTCTGTAATTGATCTCTGTATGGATTCGGTAGATTTGACTGATCTCGCAACCACCTTAAAAAATTAGGAAATAAATTATGCCTCTTTCATTCCAGATTGAATACAAATTATAAAATGAAAGCATAAATGTTTAGACCAAATTGCTTAAATGTCATAACATTATACATTTATATTGACCTTTCAGCTGTGCCTGGCTAACAATACAGAAGTTACAATGACGTGGCTCATGTGCAATCATGTTACAGTATCAAATAACATAAATCTGACCTTTGGTCTTTACAAAGTAACCTGTCTTGTCTGTGTTTTAGGAGACTAGTATTTTTTGAAATACAGTCACATTTCAATTATTATTATACATTAATTATGTATATAGATTATTCCTATTTTGAAATAAGTTCTTAAACATATTTTTCCTAAAACATAGAACAATAAATAAAGAAATAATGCATACAATTATCTCTTCTACTTACGACCTTTGTACTTGGTTGCTGCTTAACATAAGTTGATGAGCTTTTAAAAATTTTGCATGAGGTGGATATGAAACAAAAAATTTTTATATTTTTATATATACTTTTGAATAACTAAAAAAATCAACAATTACTACATTAATACCATAAAATTCCACTATAATCTACAAAGCTTAGTAACTAAGATGTATTTTAGTCTAAAAAAATATGAAATTTTGAGCAGACTAAAGACACACCCTACGTTGTTGAAATATTGGTTCAAAAGAAAGAAATGGCACTAAGTCCATTAAAATGGCTGAGAAAGCCATTAGGGAACATTTTGAGCTACTGATTGGTTATTCATGTCATATACATGAAAAGAGGTGGGCAGGGTGCCACTTTGTTTGATTTATTACATGAGCAATAACTTAGCAAATTGAAAAGATAAGAGGCTCTTGTTTTATATTCTAGCTTGTCATTAACTGTAATTTGAGTTTCTAATTTGTATGAAACTATAGACTTAGTATTTTGACTTCATAAACGTCTAATTTGATTATCTTTGTTTTTTTAATATTTGATTTTAAAGTAAGAAATTGGGTAATACATAGTACTAAAATTTGAATTATAATCTACAGTTTGATACCAAAGTTATTGACATAAATTCATGAAATAGTAGTTCAATAAAATTTTGAATGCGAGTCAACAAGCTAGATGACATGGCCTTTCACTTGTGCACCATCTCGAAATAATTAACATATATATTTTGATACTTTATTTTGCCAATTAAAGTAGCCACAATTTCCAGCTGTTAATCATTATAAAAAACTAAAAGTGCATCTTTGAAAATGGCATTACTGTTACCTTTATCTGGTAAAACAGAAATTGAATTGATTAACCTAAAGATTATATACTTTTTGTTCTTTATTACAGCTCATTCTAGAAGGGGAGATCTGGAGATTCTGGGGTACAACATGCTTCAGTGGCTGTGCAGAAGACTACCTTGGGAAGATAATCTTAAAAACCCAGAGTATGTTAGTAAAGAAAAGTCTCGGTATGTTTTAGTTAATTATTGAATTTCTATCTCTTGCTACAGGCAGGTTAAAGTGAGCATGACATGAATTTTTAAAGTTACATTAAAAATTTAATCAAATTACTTAATCACCATGATATACAAATAAACTTGACATAAAGACTAGTTAATAAATCAAATGTTAATGTAAGTTTTAAGTTTTTGATTTTATAAAGAAATATTTACAAAATCTTCTTATCTCATTCTGGTATGAGAATTGAGACATTTACTCTCTAGGAATCCCATCTTCTGTAATTTATTTACTACACATCCGAGAAGTATAGAATTTAATGTAAAGTACTAATTATAATGTTATTACTTGTGCAAAGCATAATTTTTATAGCCTTCAATCTTATATGGTTATACAGACATAAAATAGAAAATCAAACCCATCTTGCCATGCCTGCTTGTCACACCCTCTCTTTCACAGATTGCCAATAGTTCTCTTTAGTTTTCATATCTCAAATGATATATTATAGTATTTTCTGTACAGAGTGTATGTGTGTGAATGTTGTTGTTTTTTTACATGATTTCAAGTTCATGCTTGCACTTTGAAATGTTAAATATTGGGAAAGCAACCCTGTTCCTTTGCCAGTCAACTAGTTTGTTTTCAATGAAGCCAGAAACAATTAGAAAAAAAAAAATGTATGTTCTTGTATTGAATTTATATTATTAGCAATGCTATAATTCAAGAATCTGATATTAATTGTTGAGCAAGGTATCTTGATTAAAACAAATTTTGTGATATGCAAACTTTCATTAAGAGCTGAAAAAAAAAGAATGTTGAAATTTTCTTTTATTAATGGAAATATCAATCTTATTTTGGATGTGTGCTAAGATGTACGAGTTAATATACAGAGCAGGTGAGGAATGTTCACTAATTCTATGATATAATTATGGGGTGTTGGAACTGACAAGACAGGTATATTTTTAAACAATTTATAACTTCATTAGTTTGGTATTACATATTTCTAAGATAGAAAAGATAGTAGTCTTAAGATATTTTTTCAAATATTTCTGAGAGGAGTGTGTGGAATGAAGGGCCTGTTGCCAAAGTAAATTAGAACTGAGATTATGTTGTGTTCTTTTATGTTGGAAGGAATTACAGAGTCATGCTTATTTAGTTTATCCAGAGGCTTTGTTTTTAATTCTTATTGATAAAGTTGAAAAATTTTTTGGAAGTACTCATCTGATACTGGAGATTTGCATTTGAATTCTTTTGAACTTGCCTTAATTATTTTGCAGTATACGTTGAAAAAAAAAAAAGAGTAACTTGAAGTTAATATTTACTAAGAATATGTGTTTAGGTAAATAAATTTGACAACATTAATCAAACAAGAGAAGACAATTTATTTGAAAATTTGTGAATGTTCTTTGAAAAGGAATTTCTTGTATTAAATTGCACAAGAAATGGCTTAATTGATTATGAAAACTGATCTTGATATTCTATTTTCTCCCCTAATTATGTAAAAAAGGAGCTATACGTAATGAGTTTTTGTTGTTTAATGATTTTTGCAGGTACATGTCTGATGTCATTTCATTAATGAAAAAATGTTTTGGGATTAGTAGATGTCCTGGTGAGTTTGACCTTCTTTTTTATATTTGTCTTAACTGTTTAGAATTTAAGTTTTATATTTAATGTTTGAATTATTTGTAGTTATTTTAGAGTACCTGGATGTTTATATGAAAACCATAGAAAATGTGTGGTCAATTTAGGCCATAAGAAATACTGTTGGATATGCATTTGAACTTGTATGTTTTTTGCATTTTATACTAAGCTTTGTCCTGTTCACAGTACACGAAGGTTAGTAATATGTTTTTGTTTTGTCATATTTCATTATTTTGTAGTCCTGAGGTATTTTGAAGCTCTATTTTCTATTTCTTAGTACAGAGTGCTTTCTGCTATCAAAGTGCTTTGATAATATATTGAATTTTCACTCATCAGCTGCTAGTTTCCAATTCTAATACATACTAGTTACATTTCTTTCCAGGCATCAAAAACAAATGCTGTTGCATGCTCACATTTCCAGTCTTTGTTTTTTGTATAACTAGTTCGTTATCATTAGTCTTTTGTAAGTGTTTCATGTTCTTTTAATTCTTGAATATCAATCTTTGGCTTTTTAGAAGGAATCCAAGAATATATGCAGTACGTAGCAAATCTTAACTTTGAAGAAGAACCAAACTACGAACACTGTCGGCAAATCTTAAAACAATCAATCAAAAGAGCTGGATATAAGGATGATGGAAAACTTGAATTTTCTCTTCCAAGTAAACTGAATAAGGCTAATAAGTCTCCAAAGGTATTGTTATATATATATATATATATATATATATTAGTAGTAGTATAATGGTATTATCTGTTGTATCTCCATGTAACTACTCTGCAGGGTGTGGATGGATCTTCACCAAAATTTGTATGGAGGCTCATTAGTTCCATGCTGGGGTATGTAAAAATTTTCAGTTTTGCATTTTGCAATCTTTATGGGTGTTTTTTGTGGTTTTTACCACTACTTTGCCCCCCTGTAGATAAATCTTTCACCAAATTTGGTATGGAGGTTCATTGGGTCTGAACATTACCAAATTTTTAAGACAAGTGTGAGCACTAGTTTGGTATTTTAATGTAATATATGTATATACTCAGAATTTTTTATCTTTTCTACAAAAACAGTTAGTTTTTTTAAAGTCTGAATTTGTTTTCACTTCTAAAATGTGAATAATAATATAAGTAAAAAATTGAGGGAATTCTTATCTTTTCTTAAAAATTAAATTCCACAATTAATTTGAAATGTTAACTTGAAATACCTTGAATTATTTCTATTTGTCACGTAAAATCAGTGTTTATAAATTATCTGAAAAGCATACTTTTTTATACATAGGTAGGGTCTTGTTGCCAGTATGAATTACTACTTGTAGTAATGACTTTCTACTATTATTGATTTTTAACAAAGTTCAGAATTTTAAATCAATTTCCTTTTAGCTTTAAATGTTTCATTTGACTATTTTTAAACAGTTGTGAATGGTAGGAAAGTTAATGATTCTTTTTTATTTATTAACACTAAAAAAAACTGGTAACTAATACAGAATTGAGTGGCTTTCAGAAAGTGACTTATTTTTCTAGAAAAGAATAACAAGTCAAGGAAAACAAACACCTAAAAGAAAACAAGCACAAAGAATAGCATCCTCAGAGTTTGCAGATGGAATTATAAGTGAAAGACTAAGAATAAAAAAAGCAGTTTCAGACACGCCTGAGCTTACATCACACTCTCCTTCTGAGAACATATTAAATGGGAATGGAAGTCCTATAGATAATCCAACTCCTGCCATGATTATGGTAATGCAACGAAAACAAGAACTTCAACAAAAGCAAAAAATGGTCAGGAAAAGTAAAAGCTTTCGGCAACCAAACATTCTCCATTCAGCTATAAGAACTAAATCTTCCAATAATTTGAATAAGAAGTCTTTAAAGAATGCATCGTTGAGAAGGTTGTCACCCAGATCTAAAAGTGAGTTATAACTTGTATCTTTATTACAGCATTTATCTCCAAACCAAATCTATGTTTTACTGATGCATAAGCTGCAAAGTACCAATTTGCGTTTGTAAATTTTGTGAATAGCATTTTATTATATTATAAGTTTATTTTTCAAACCAAGTTAAGGCTTAATTCAATTTTTCTAAAACTCTTAAAAACTTTCGTCCCATTGACTGAAAATTCTTGTAATTTCTTTTGTGAGTTCTTGTCTACTTTTAAATCCAAAAGTTTTCTTTATGTTAATTTTCCTTGAACATTTTTTTTATGATTAATAATAAAGTTCATGCCATGGCTGCAGAATATCACAGGTGTGCACAATGTGTGCTGAATATTTTAACTGATATAAGAACACTTTCCTCACAAACTTCAGCATTATTTTACTGAAAAAAGTGAACCCTTTCCAGGCCAATGAGCACCTTTCAGTCTTTGCTTTCACCTAATTACCTGAACCAGGAAAAGGAATTATTTTAACTATTTCCATACAGGTTTGGTCATATTGACCGACCTTGTAACCACAAAGTTATCATCAGAGTTTCCATACTATAGCTTTTAATGTAGTGTATCTTCATGAAATATTGCAACCTTCAGTAAACATTACAGGTCTTTTGTACACAAAAAGCAGATTTTTTTAATGAAGTATTTTTACTAAATATTTTTTCCATCAATATATGAAGCAAGAGTATTAACAGCTAAGAGTGCAAAGGGATTTTCATGTTAACATTAACAATACTTTTCTTCATCTGAAAATTTTTAGACTTCATTTGTGTAACTTTAAAACCCCCTAATAAATATCAAATGTTTTTTGTTTTTTTTCGATAAAACTGTATTTTGCTATTTACACTATCCTGACTTTATGCAGACTTAGTAGCTATACAAAAAAAAATATATGAAACAAATCTAAATTACCTTTTTTCTTTTTAGAATGACTGCAAATTGTAACCAAAATTTACAATTGTTTATCTTAAATAGCTTAAGGTTTATAATAGTCTACATCTGTTTCTACTTAATTTTATTGTTTCATTGCCCTTTGAACATGTCTAACCAATAATCTTACCATACAAGTTTTAAATCAATTGCTGAATGTGTAGCTACTGAATGATGTTATACACAAGCCTGCTTGTGAGTATACCTTATGAAAAATTTTCATTATCTTACCTAATTTAACCTTATCTAAACTAGTAACTTTCTACTTTTTACATTTTAGTTACTTTTATAACAATAAGTAAAAAATATGCATGAAAAAGTTCTTACCTTTGTCCTCTTGCTGTTAGTTACTTATTAGCTTTTTCTGTTTTATAAGTGCATGCTTAGTGGCTTATTGTAAGTTTTAACTCCTTTATTGCCAAGAGCACATATATATCCTCACACTGAACCACTGCCATAGGCATAATATGGGATACACTATATAATTTTTGTTTTAGGCTTGAAAATGTGGTTTTAATCACATTTGTAGTTTTGTACTACAATGAAGAAAAAGTATTCTACTTCAATCTTCCTAAAGTTTAATTAGTTTCAGATAAGTAAGGAAATGTTGAAATTTCTTTTTAATATGTATTTTAAAAATAAACCTTGCAATGGGGTAGTTGTTCATCTATAAATGTTGTAGTGAAAGAATTAATAATTATTTTTGTTGCTACTATAAATATGAACAATATTGAAAAAGTATGGAAACAGTGAGGATGAATGCTACAAAAAAAAACAACAACAGATATTAAAGGAATATTACCTCTTTATCTTAAGAAGATGAACTGCCTCAGAGTACAGTCATGTGATTAGAAAAGTTCCACAAGTATAAAGCAAGTTGCACTATACCCAGTAGTAATGTGAATCAGGTCATGTCTTCAAGGGCTGAAACACATGACAAGAGAGTAGAAACTATAGATTTGGCTGAACAAGGATACTCAGTGCTAAAAATTGTGGCACAAGTCCACATTTCAGTACGAGCAAGAAGAGCTTGGGTGAAACTGGTACTATTTATCATAGAAATGGACAAGATAGCAAACTGGAACTTCAGGATATGCTCTTTATAAGATAGATGATGGCTGAGTATAGATCTTGCCATAACCTTGTAAATATGTGTGAATGATATCTTGGGAGATCTACATTTTTTTAGGTGCTACTAATTAATGTATGTTGAGTTCAGTCCCAAAAAAACCAAGCTAGGCTCAATGTTTGCCATCTTATCAATTGTACTCTGCACTGTTTAATCACTGTCATAGGAAAAATTAAATATTTTTCACTAATAATGACTGTAGTCAGTCTTGATTGTGCATAAAAATCAGGCTAGATCAATTTTAAGAACTGACAGTTTTGGGAATTGTCAGCACTTGGCTACTAAAAGTGATTTTACTGGCTACTGACAAGATAAAATTGTATAGTGAATTCCAGTGTGGGGTATATCAAGGAAATTGGGATATTGTGAAGGAATTCCTATTGCATAGCTGCCTACTCAGGAATAAGCTTACTCTAATATCTTGTGTTCAGTCTAGGATAATGGTTTAATATTGTCAGTACTAAAATGCAAAAAAACTTCTTTAAGATGCATTGTACTGGACATAATTATGGAAATGGTAAAAAAAGGGATGTAAAAGGCAAATACTGCAGGAATGCTACCCTCTTATCATTTGAAAATAAACTTCACCACATTTTTAATAGTTTACACTGACTAGTTGTCATCCAAAAATTAAAGAGAGATATGCTACACCAGTATAAAGTACAGTCAGTCATGGTATATCCAACAGTAGTACTGTAAGTTAAGTCTTAGCTCCCAGGACTGAAATATCACATGACCTTAGTGTAGAAATCAAAGATTGGTTGGTCAATGGTTCCACATGTAAAACCATTGCAGCTGCACATCATGTTTTCAAACTGGCATTGTTAATAATAGAAGCAGTCAAGGTAGAAAAATAACACTTATCAAAAGTAATGTTAAATATGTCAGAGTTTGTTCTAAACAACTTTAAGTTAGACAGTGAATGAGTACAGATTTCAAAAATGATTTAGCTGTAAGTGGGTGAATTTTACCTTGATAAAAGTAAGATGCACATTAACATGAAGTGGTTTTGATGTAAGTGTAGGTGCTTGAAAATCACTGCTGAGAAAAAGGTAACCAAGTTGAAATAGGCTTCAGACCACAAATATTGAAACAAGCAAAGATAAAGATGTGTTCTTTGTAGATGAATCCAAGTTCTAATTGCAGGAATATTCAATGATGGTTTGTTTGACTAGTGAGAGGAGAGCAGTATCATAGTCAGTGTACAACACCTACAGTGAAGCATGGTGGGAGATCAGTACAAATTTAGGGCTACACCTAAACCAGTGATCTACATAAAATTGATGTTACCCTCATTGTTAACAAATACAGTCAGATTCTAATACACTATGCTTCCCTCAGGGGTACAACTCATTGAGAGGAGAATCATCTTCTAGAAGGACAATGATCCAAGCTTACAACAAATGTGATATTGTACCTCGACAGTAAATAGGCTGATAGAACACTCATAGTCATGGCTTGGTTTGCACAAAGTTTTAATACAAACATTCATGTGGCTGTATGGGCTTATGTATAAAACTGAGAAGGTCGAAGGATGACAAACAACTTGGCTGAGTTGTTGGGATTAGTAAAAGACATTTGGAATAATGTTCCTTGACTGAACATTGATAAAGTGTATGGCATCATAAAAACAAGGTTTAATGCTCTGTGTTAAGTAAAGATTATTAGTGTTTTGTATAACTATGGTAATGTCTTGTAACATTAATTAATTCATAATCTAGATTCAGTTAGTCATTGTTTGTGACTTCTATACGTGTATGATTGCATGTTTACATAATTACTCTTATTAATGTATATTTCAGTTCAAAGACAATTTTTATTATCAGTGTATTTCTTATTTTGGTCATTTTCCTAACAAGCTCGATTTAAAAAAAAAAAAAAAAATCCCAGCATTTTACTATTTACTTGGTGCCTTGATGTGGTAGTCTTAAGAATGTATGTATTTAAGGGTAATATTTTAGTTGATAATTCACTGACTTTTCATGTTCTCATAACATGAGTATGATTATTTAGTAAATATTACTTTAAAGAAAGTAGGTAAAGCAATCAACTTTTAATTAAAAGCATTTTCTCTTTATCAAATTCAGTTGATTTTATAGTTGTAGATAATAATGAAAATTTCAACAAGCTGTTTAATTTGTTTTTTAGGCATTACAAAGACAAGCAAAACAAGGGCAACTACTTCCAAAACATCACCACTTGCCTCCACAGCAGCACTGAACAATTCTTGTAGTCCCGAAGTCTAGTACTGATGACTCTGTAGTCCCTTCTCTAATGTACAGTCAAAGTTTTTGCATTTATTGCAACAAGAATATTTTATCAATGATGGCTCTTCCCAGCACAACTTTTTGATGTTTGTTTTGTTGTCAGTTTTTAGATGCAAAATTGGTGTCAAAATTGGTAAAAAGTATAAAGACTGGAGGGTGATGTTTCATCAACAGTAAATTGTGTTGTCAGTTGCTAAGTTACTAACATTCCCTTTATGTATGCAAGATTTGCAGAAATTTTAATAATGTATGTACAGACCAAATCAATACTTTACCTTAGTTGAAACAGTCAAACACGAAGCCTTTTATGGCTATGTAAAGTGATATGCATGTAAAGTTTGAAAGTTTAATTTTTTTTTTATGTGTGTGTGTGTGTATGTAAATGTATATGTGTCTGTGATAGAGCAAGAATGAGTGTCCATTGTTGATGCAATTCTGCCTTGTACTTGTGGGGTATCTTTATATGTCTTGAGAGCATTGAATCACCCCCCTTTTTTTTTTCAGGACTTGGGTGTATGTATAAATCTTAGAAATAAAGTTTTTCCTTTTTATATTAGTGTGAAAATCTGAGAATTAAGACTTTTAGCTTATTATTAATTACTAACAATGATTCAGTTATATAACAAAATTTAATGTAAAACATATTGAAAAATAAACTGTGATCTGAAGTCATAGAATGTTGTACAAATGAACAGTAATAAATTATGTATAAAAGGTTATGAAAGCAACTTTTCAGTAACATAAATCATGCATGTCTTTATACAGGAGCTAGAAATAGACTATCTTCATTAGTTTATAATTTTAAAAAAAGTATAATTATTGACTTGCTATTAATGGTTTTGAAATTTTAGTTGTGACAAACAAATTTAAATACTAATAACTGTATAATGTAGATAATCATAAAATGTAAGTATTTTTTTCATTTGATTATAACTGATACCTTTAGTCTTGTTTTCCAATGATTTGAAAAGCTGGATGTAGTAAACAAAATTGGCCACTAAAGGAGATCAAACTTAAATATATGTAAAGCTGATTTTTTTATAGTAACTGGAGACATGGAAATTTTTATCTTAATTCAGCAGTTTCTGATTTTTACTTGTGATTAAAGAAAATATTTTTAAGACATGTTCTATAAACACTATCAAATTATTTTTTTTTATTTTTTTGTGTGTACGTACAATATGACATCATAAATATCACATGTGATTTTTAGTAAATTAGAATTTCACTGGAATTGCTTTGGTTATAAAACAGATAATATATTTACAGTATAAAACAAATCAACTTCCTTAAACCTGAAAATACAATTCTATATTTTAAAAAGTAATAAAGCTAATTATTTTAACTGTACTGCTGAAGTATGAAAGACTGGAAATCTGAAACTATTAGTAAAACATTTATACCACACGAACTAACATCTTCCTTAATTGGCATTCCTATACATACATTCTAATTGATGGTTGTCCTGCATCTGTATCCTAGTAGGCACCTCCATACTATAATTAACTAAAAAGTTGTTTGCAATGATAGGCAGTGTGGCATTTTTAACCTGAACAGCATCTCATGGTGAGAGACTCCAAGGTTCATGCTCAGCAAGCTCTAGTTTAGAATTGATGTCCAGAAATTGGATAACCAGTCAATCATCTATGTGACCACTGTTAACACAAAAGGAGGATTGACTGACATAATTAAAATGCTCCCACAGATGAAAGTAGGAATATCTTCAGTGGCATAATAGTGTACAGTGAGCCATGAGTCACAAAAGCAGGATATATAAAAACAAAATGGCGAAATCTGTTTGAGAGCTATTAAGATATTTGCAGAATAGAAAAAAAGACTTATATCTCTTATGTCTACTGAATGCTCTAAACCCATGAAACAAGAAAATACAATTTCAGAATATACATCTTAACGAGTTATTTATGGCCTATTCTTACAATTGTTTGTGATTGATATATGGATCACAAAGACTACCAATGAATCATCCAAAGTGTGCTCAATAAGCTCTCTTTCTGAAGTATAGTTGCATCTCTTCATTTTTTTAAATAAGTGTTTCAAGTTTTTAATTAGTAATAAATGTTTTTCATATAACTTGCTGAACTTGAAATTCATTTCTTAGCTTTTCTTTAAAAAAAAGAAAAAATTATTTGAGTTATGATTTTTTTTTAAGTTGTTAACTACTGTAGGTGTTTAGAAAGAAATGAGAATCAGATTAAAACAAACATACACTTATGTTGTGAGTAATAAATCATTATTGCTTAGCATAGCACGCATTAAGTATGATGTATTGTGTCCATTTCATGAGTTCATCATAACAGGTTAGTAAATTGTAGGTGTGGTATTGCAAGTTCTGTATGCAGTTGCTTTAATAAAAAATAATTGTATTGGAAGTGTTACCTATGCTAAGAGTGCAAAAGAGATGGAAATCATGTTACTTAAAACCAATGACACAGTTTGTTTTCTTAATGTATATCTATTGTGGAAATACAACATATGATGTTGCTAGCATCATACAAATATTCGTTCTGAGCACGTTATATTTCCAGTTGTAATATCTATAAATATTTCTTGACAGTAAATGACTGTTGACTGATCATGTGACTGGACAAAAAGTGATACACAGAGAAAATATTTATTTCATGTAAAGCATAAATACGATGTGTGCATTTGCAGTCTCTTACATTGGACCGTCATTTCTTGTTGATATTTCCAACTTTAGATCATCCATCAGCCTGACTAATACAAGGGTTCTTTGCTTCAAAGAAACCTTGTATTTAATTAGCATGAAATGTGCCAACATGTGATTGGTCATTATATTTTCAATGTTTTGAGCTATATGCTGGATATAGGATGCGTGAAGTTAGGACATGGAAAATTCCTGAACGTTAAGAATGGAGAAGCTTTATACAATATGTAAAAATAGGAGGTATGATATAAATTTGAGATGTCAGTGATTATTCAGCTAGTTCAATGACAGTCAGTTGAATGAGTGGATAAAAGTAATGTGTTATTGAATATTGAACGAGGGATTTAACTTAGTGGCAGTAGTGAGAGTTATTGCATCTGTTAGCAAGTATTTTCAGCAAGTAAGTTTATTTGTAAATTAGGCATAGGTTACATTAATATTGTTGTTTCTGTTTAATCGTTTCTTAAGTTAGGCCTACAAGTAAAAGTAGCTTGTTGCAAATGTTAGAGAAAATAACTCGTTGTTTCGTGAACAAGGCTTAGCATTATGTTTACCATATAATTCAAAACTAACTCAAATAACAATATGTCACAACACTATCAATGATAAGCATTTAAATTCAATTTTGCGCAAGCTACAGGAGGGCTATCTGCTCTAGTTCTTAATTTTAAAGTGATGTACTAGAGAGAAGGCAGCTAGTCGAAACCATCCAACATCAGCTTGTGGGCTACTCTAATTTAATAGTGGTATATGACCATCACTCTTATAACACACCAATGATATCAAAGTGTGTAATGCAATGTTTTTTGTGGTAATGAGGCATGAATCACAAAGCCTCAGATCTACAGTCTGGCATATTTAATCAGTAAGTTGTGCTTGGCCCTGCATTTCAATTTAAAGATTACAATGTAAAATTACTTCCATTCAGTATTTAGGTGCAGATGGTTTTCATGCAAAGGAAAAACAACATGACATGCAGGTATATTATGCATTTTTTACCATATCTTGTAACAACATTTTGCTTTAGTCTGTTTCAACTTAGATTTGGCACAAGCACGTGGTAGAAAACTGTTGAGTTGTTTCATTCTACTTATCTCTGTTTCTTTATTGTTCTCTAGCAGATTGTATCTACTTTGCCCATAGCAGGTGTTGCTGCACCTTTGTACATTGTGTAAGGTAGGGCACTGACAGCAATGTCTTTCACTGGCTGAATAGATTATATCTAAGGGTTACAGTCTTTAATGAGAATGACCATTTATTTGGTGATACTTGTCACTTACGGATAAAACCAAGTTTTCCCATTTTATAGGGAGCATCAGTTTTGGTCAGAACAGAGTAAAATTTACAAAGAGTTTTATTTTATTCCAGATGTGATTCTATCAGTGGAAAGTCATCTCAAGGGATAATAACTATTAATTGATTCACTCATCCAATCGGAAGTGACTGTCCAAAGTTTGCACAAGTATCCATACTTGTTTCAAAATATAAATAAAGGTTGTGTTTCATCTTACATCACATGTCCAATCTATTTACTTTCTTAGTTTGAAACTTCATGCCTCCAGTGGTGCGGCAGAATGTCTGCAGACTTACAACACTAGAAATAGGTTTCAATACCCGTGATATATAGAGCACAGATAGCCCATTGTGTAGCTTTGTACTTAATTACAAACAAAATTTAAACTTCATATTTATATCATAATTGTCCTCCAAGATTTTCACGTTATAAAGCAGACCTGTCTAATAAAACTGTATCTTAATTGAATCCACGTGAAATTAGGGTGTCTTTCATGCTGAAAAAAAAAAATGTGACACAGAAAAGAAATGTATTATAAAGTTGCTAACAACAGCTTTGCACAGAAAAGTACTGTTGTGGAAGGTAGCAACACAAATTAAATATGAAAAATTAAAAAGTAGAATTGTTCATGATATTTTCTGTAATGTTCATGAAATAGATTTTGCTTTGAATGGATTCATCTAAAACTTCAGTTTGGTACCTGACTACACTGGTTTTAGCTTTTTCTGATATAAACATTTCCAGACAGGAAGAAGCCTGCAGTGGTAGCTATAGTGACAATTCCACTGGCTGTTGGTGAAATTTAGGTACCTCCACTTTAGCAGGCTAAAATCAATTGGAGGGTTACCAACCAGCTGTCTCCACAGGACAGAAAAGCAATGCAACCACAATGGTCTCCAGTGAGTGGGCAGGTTCTCCGAGAGGGTACATGCCAGGGCAAAGTCCACCCATCAGGTACATACCACAGCCATGCCCAGTGTTTCCATGTGGACATTTTATGGGAGGGGAAGAGTGAAGCATTTGCTTCACTTGTGGACTAATGGGGCACTGAAGAAGGAACTGTCCATACTTTGCAGCACAGCAAAGATGACCAAGCAATTTGATCTAGATACCTGCCAAACTGCATAGGTATTGATATTGGTCATCAGATTGGCAGGTCTGAGATGACTAACAACGAACAAGCTGTGGCAAATGGTCCAGAAAATTGATGAAGCCCAAGTTGGGCTTGGCCACCAACTTGTGAGACCACAGTGGACGGCTTGCACTAAACGTGTTTAGTGGAGCTTGTTATGTGCTGGTAAGGGTGAAAGGTTG